ACCGCCCTCCCGCGACGTCTCACTACCTGGTAGATATCCTCAAATGCTTCTCAGCACACAGAGTGGAGGAAATAACTATTTATTATTTATATTCCCGACTGAGTTGCTTACTTACAGAAAAATGAACAGTCTCCGATTTTTATGGTAGTCTAGGAGTTGGAAAGACTACGATGACCTGGATGACTGAGAACCTTCACAGACAGATTTTTATGCTAGTTTTTGATGGAGGAAAGGCATTCGATAAAAATTATACAATAATTTACAAATCAGTGTGTGAAATAAACCAGTCAGACTTCACGTTCCTACAGACTGGCTTTTAACCCATGTGGCACACAGACTTCAGTCAATCAGTCACTTACAGATCTCCTGATCCCAAATCGCTATTGGTGTGATAACACACACCTGTCCACAGAATCAGTTTCATCCATTCTAACCTCTTCACACCTCAGAGAAGACCAAAGAGCTGTCTTAGGACGTCAGCATCAAATAGCATCATAGTCTGGAGCTCCATGCAAGATCTCATCTATGAGTGGTGGATCTCCCCAAAACTACATCTGATCTGATCTGAAGGCCAAGAACATCTTTGGTAGCACATTCACCATAATGGACTAAAGTGTTGCAGTACCACAATACCCCTCCCCGCCACCCCCTACAAGAAACTCACACTGCTGTGCAGAAGCAGCTGTTCCTCCACCAAGTACTAGTCATGTTTGCTTGGAGATCAAATGCATTAAAAGCAATTTATAACTTCTATTTATGTGTTTTTTTTTTCTGGATTTTGGTTATGGTAAATGGTAAATGGCTGCATTTGTATAGCGCTTTTCTAGTCCATAGGACCCCAAAGCGCTTTACACTACATTCAGTCATTCACCCATTCACACACACATTCACACACTGGCAATGGCAAGCTACATTGTAGCCACAAGCTGCCCTGGGGCGCACTGACAGAGGCGAGGCTGCCGGACATAGGCGCCACCAGGCCCTCTGACCACCACCAGTAGGCAAACATGGGGTTAGTATCTTGCCCAAGGATATTTGACATGCAGCCAGGATGCAGCCTGGGATCGAATCACCGACCTTCTGATTAGTGGCTGACCTGCTCTGCCACCTGAGCTACAGCCACCCAGGTTGTATCGCTCTTAAAATACAACTTCCATAAAATTAGAGAAAACAAACAGATTCAGCAGGAGATGAATCATTATTCCCCGCGCTGTATCAGGGCAGCTATGTTCCAACGTAGTCTGAATGAACTAAACAGCAGTGACTCAGTGTCATTGGAATGATTTTCTGTAACTCTGATCATGAGCCACTCAAAACCTTAAGTTGTTTTGCTTTATTCTATTTATCTGCTGGATGGTTTTACTTTCATCTGTCAAACTGTGGGACACTCTTCTTCTGGAAGTCTTTTATTTAAAGTAGACTAGGATAATGGTATGTCTACTTCCTGGAGAGTGGGGCTTCACTTGGTTGGGTCTTGCTTCTGTGGCCTGTTTCCATCGATGATATTACCCATGTGTTCTTTAGTTCCAAGATGTAGGAACTTCATTCTGGTTGCCGCAGTTTCAGTTTGGCCTGTTTCTCTTGCTCTGGAGCTCTTTACCTGCAGCTTGTAGGTTTACAGCAACAGCTTCCAAAAGCAAATGCTGCTTTGGATCTTTGCTGTTTGTCTGTGAAGGTTCTCAGTCATCCAGGTCATCGTAGTCAAAGGAGCTTGCAAAGAAAAGCGTCTGGACTTCTTTAAGTTACTTGAAGACGTTTCACCTCTCATCTGAGAAGCTTCTTCAGTTCTAAGGTCAAATGGTGGAGAGTCCCAGATATAAACCTAGTGGGAGTTTCCCCCCACAGAGGGACAAAAGGACCCCTGATGATCCTCTAATCGCCTGAGCCAAGGTGTGAAACTGGGTGTGTGTCCCAATCAGCCAGAGTTTCGGGTGAGTTCATTGTGAAACCTGGCCCCACCTTATCATGCGAATTCCTGAGATCAGATGGCCCAGGATGTGAGTGGGCGTTAAGGCGTCTGGGAAGGGATCTCAAAACTGGATTATAGATGGCAGAGAGTTGGTGTCGTAACCCCCCGCCTCTGTTCAAAGATGGTCGCTCACAGTGGAATCTTTGCTGTTTGTTTTATTTCCAACCATTCATCCATCCATTCATCCATCCAACCATGCAACTATCCAACCAACCATCCACCTAATCATCCAACTATCCAACCAACCATCCACCTAACCACCCAAATCCACCTAACCATCCAACCATCCAACTATCCAACCAATCATCCAACTAACCATCCAACCATGGAACTATCCAACCAACCATCCAACTAACCACCTAACCATCCACCTAACCATCCAACCATCCATCTAGCCAACCAGCCATCCAACTAATCATCCAACTATCCAACCAATCATCCAACTAACCAACCAACCATCCACCTAACCGCCCAACCAACCATCCACCTAACCATCCAACCATGGAACTATCCAACCAACCATCCAACTAACCACCTAACCATCCACCTAACCATCCAACCATGCAACTATCCAACCAACCATCCACCTAATCATCCAACTATCCAACCAATCATCCAACTATCCAACCAACCATCCACCTAACCACCCAACTATCCAACCAACCATCCACCTAACCACCCAACCATCTACCTAACCACCCAACCATTCACCTAACCATCCAACCATGCAACTATCCAACCAACCATCCAACTAACCACCTAACCATCCAACCATCCATCTAGCCAACCAGCCATCCAACTAACCATCCAACCATCCAACCATGCAACTATCCAACCAACCATCGACCTAACCATCCAACCTTCCATCCAACTAACCAACCATCTAAACATCCATCTAACCATCTAAACTGCAAACATGACTGTTAAATCAACATATGTATGAAAAGCTTTCTCTTTGCAGCTCCAACTATCCAACCAACCATCCAATCATCCACCTTAGCATCCAACCATGCAACTATCCAACCAACCATCCACCTAATCATCCAACTATCCAACCAACCATCCACCTAACCACCCAACCATCCATCCAACCATCCACTTAACCATCCAACCATGACACTAACCAACCAACCATCCACCTAATCATTCAACTATCCAACCAACCATCCAACTAACCATCCAACCATCCATCCAACCATGGAACTATCCAACCAACCATCCAACTAACCACCTAACCATCCACCTAACCATCCATCTAGCCAACCAGCCATCCAACTAACCATCCATCCATCCAACCATGTAACTATCCAACCAACCATCCACCTAACCACCCAACCATCCATTCAACCATCCACCTAACCATCCAACCATCCACCTAACCATCCAACCATCCACCTAACCATCCAACCATGCAACTAACCATCCAACCATCCACCTAATCATCCAACTATCCAACCAACCATCCACCTAACCATCTAAACTGCAAACATGACTGTTAAATCAACATGTGTATGAAAAGCTTTCTCTTTGCAGCTGGTTGGTAAATTAAGTTTAAATGAAACAGAGAAGCACAGTACCCTTAACCTCTCCTAACCTAAAAAAAAGACCTTCCAGGTAAAGTTGCAGAATTTATTTGGTGCTGTTGTTTTAATCCAGTAGACCTCTGAAGACTTTTAGGTGGAAGTGATATTGTCAGTCCTCAAGGGGGCAATATAATACACAAAGAACTAACTGGATCCTTTGCATGACCACTGTATGAAAAACGTGTCATCTGCAGAGATGTGTGTCACTAAAGAGAGAGAGAGGAGCAAAACAGCAGATGCACCATGTGACGTTCATTTGCTATTTTTGGAAGTGGTCAGCATGATTATTTTGAGTGTAAGTGAACCCCAAATTAAAGGATCAGCTCTTCTTGTTGCTACTCCATAAAACTGACACAGCATCTGTTTCGATGTCTTTAGTCGACGTTGAGGGAGGCATCAAACTGAGCTTAGAGCCCAAAGATTTAAAAAGCCTCTGGCCAGCCTCGAGTATTCATGTCAGTCTGTCCGTGACAGGCTTTGCTGCCTCTACACGAACCTTTGAAAACGCTCAACACCAGCATGTGACTCAAACTGCCGCTCAAACTGACTCTGTGCTGACTCTGAGCTGAGACTTGAGAACGACCAGCAGACAGCAGGATCATGTTCACCACGTCGGAGTCTCTTCAGCTTTAATCTGAAACCTTCTCACCCACAAATCTCTCAGCAGAAGCACAAAACACTGCTCCGTAATGTTCCTTGATTATTTCTAATCACTGTTTGTGTTCGCCCGAGCCTCCAAACATCCAGGTCGCCACATGGTTCAACCGCCTCGTCGTTTAGGAGGCGACAGATTTTATTGGTTGGACGTAGCCGGGTGGAGGTGGGAGGGAGAGAGGGAGACAATGCCAAAATCCTGTGATGATTTGATTATTTTGTGCAGCGGCGCTCTGAGGAAACAGAGCGAGAGGGGCTTTGGCTGAGGGAGGATGTTGATATGTGTTTAAATCTGTTGTGTTTTTGCTTGTTGCCAGGACGATCATGGCCACACCGGCATCAGCCGAGCCGTACAGAGGCTGGAGTTCTGCGACTGCAAGAAGGACCGGTGAGCATCTTTCCCTCGACCTTACTGACTCTGAGTCCTATTAACGCTCCTCCTTCGCCGCAGCTCAGCATCTGAAAATGCTGCGATCGCCTGTCACAACTAGATGAAGAGCCAGTACAGCCTGAAAGCCAGGCTCTTTTTAACTGGAGCTCATCTGTGTGTGTTCACAGGTGTTAAAATAATTGGGGCTACAGAGAGCTGACAGGAGAGGAGTTTGGTATCTACATAAAGCGAGTGATCGCTGGTGGGCTGGCCGCTCTGGATGGTAGCTATTCTTCTGGTATTTTTTGTGGATCGGTTACTACAGACACTGTTATCGTCCCTCACTTTGCCTTCTCTCCGTCCGTCTGTCTGTCACTCTCTGTTCCAGGTCGGCTTAAGTCAGGTGACCTGATTTTGGGATGTCAATAACATCAGCCTGATAGGGGTGACCAATGAGAGGTGAGTCTCACTGTTGAGGTATTTTAGAAAATGCAGCATGGCGGTCTCGCATCACTTGTTTATTTGCACTGTTTGAATTGTGAAGCTGCATGGACTGCAGAGTGTTGGTGTCCATCACACTTTATGTGAATGCTGCACGTGAAATTTTGCAGCCTCAACATCTGCTTTAAGGTCATCAACATGTTGGCATTTTTGAGTAAAAATGACCATATTTGGACAAGAGGGTGGAGTATTATCAGCTACTTTATCTAATTCAGTTCAGTTTTATTCATATAGCAACAATTTACAACACCAGTCGCCTCAATGCTCTTTAGTTTATAAATTAAGAAATTAAGACTATAAAATAAGACTTATTAACAATATACAGAGAAAGCAACACCAACAATCACATGACCTCCTATTAGCAAGAACTTGGAGGCAGTGGGAAGGAAAAACTCCCTTTTGAACCTGAGTTAGTGTATGGGAGCATAGACACAGATACTTGCTAATCTTGCTAACATCAAAATAAACATGTACTGCACCAAAGCTGTTAATACAGTGACCTCACAGCAGCCCCATTATTGGTCATATGATGTCATTAAAAAGGCTCCGACAGCACAAACACGGTCCAGAGGTCCAGTTCAGGTGAAGCTAGCAGACAGCTACCAGCTACAGCCGCCTGTGTCACCATCCACCCTTCACTCAAAGAGGCCACACCCCTAATGATGCAACTACAAGCCTTAGTGCAATTTAAACAGGTGACCTATAGAAACACTCCCTGCTGTTTTTTAAGGGAGAAACTGCAGTTAATGTGCAGGAAATAAGGAAAACAGGAAGTTTTCTATTTCGGGTTTTTTATGTCATGTTTAGCACGACCGCTAAACGCAGCAGTTTCCTGTTCTGATTTTGTCTATACAGACAATAGCTCACCTTCACATGTAAACACTGCAGATAATTAACTGCAGCCGAGTGTCATTCTGAGAGCAACTTGATTATAGTGACTAATCAAAGTTGATTCAGGCGACTGAAGTCTAAATGCAGGTCTAACCTCGTCGCACCAGGAGATTACTTCTCATTGGATAACTTCCAAACTCGTCCCGCCTTTCTGCTCAGCTGAATCAGTTTTGATTGGATCTTGTCTCTCCAGAATATTTTCATCTCATATTTATTCGTTGACAGACTGTTGATTCATCACAGTTTGTGTCCTTGTGATTAGATTTTATTTTGTTATCATCTTGTTTTCATCAGAAAAAATGATGATGAAACTTACTGGTCAAAACTGACACTGGATGGTACTACCTGCTGAAGTATGGTTTTTATTAGCTGGAGACACCAACGTCATAAACACTGATGATAACCAAGTATCACAGTTCCAGTTAAACTTAAAAATCAGTTTCATTCTTTAAACAGAGGCTCGAAAGTCGTAGATGGAACGACAATCACAGCTATCGATCATCGGCCACACGACGGATACTAAAGTTCTTTTGAACTTTTAAGTAGGAGCAAAGACTTTTGGGCTCGAGTCAGTTGCTGTCAGCATCTAGTGGCTGTCGGTGGTACTGCAGTCTATTTGTCCAATAGGTCCACAGAGGACGTTTCCACCAGGCAGAGATGTCCTTGAGTTTCACACATGGACTCTTTATCTTCCATCACACGCTGGTAATGTTTACTGCTCGATTCTGCTCCCTGATAGGGCGGTGGAGATCTTAAGGACGGCCTCGGTCTCCAATCACATGTCCCTGCTGATCGCCAGAGATGAGGAATCCAGGTAAGGAGGTGCTTTTATTCTGACATTATCCCTCTGATTTTACTGCTTTTTCTCAGTCTGGCTGAGCTGAGCATGTTTTCTGAGGTTATCTGAGGACGAACTCGGTTTGTCTGATGGTGATGATCTGTGATCAGCAGAGCAGCTGATTGAAAGTCATCTTAGAACAGAACATCTGAGCTGAGCTGCAGGGGTGACTGCCAGGCCGGGGGGTTGATGCTGACAGTTGGGGTTATGTTCCTGCAGTGGGTGGACAGACAAGTGAGCCTGAAAGTGTTCAGGGTCACAAGTTCAGGTGTGCAGACACTTCTCCAGTCACATTTTAATGACTGAATGGAGCATTTAAGCTTCTTACGCTCCCTCGTTCAGTGTGAGTGGAGGAAAAGCTTTTTCTAAAGAGGCTCTTCATAAAGATGGAATCTGCTTTTATTCCCACTGAGACGACGCTGACGTTCTGCAGCTCCGAGGATGGGATTTCAGCTTTCCGTGCTCCTGGAAACGAGGCTCGTCAGTGGTTTGATTCGTCCTTGGAGCGAGCTGTGAGGTGATGTGTGAGGTAAACTGACCTGGCACTCTGCTGGCCCCTGTGCTTTTTCACGTCAGCTCAAACACAGTTTGACACAATAGGGACACGGGGCTGTCTGTCCACAGGGTCTCTGCTCTGGGAAAGAGCTGCAGCTGCTCAGCACAGAGACATGACCGGGGATCAGACCGCCTCGGTGACATCCTGCTGTCTCTGTGGGGAGACAGTTGCGTCATGAAACTGTACTGTCAGTCTGTGAAAGCACGATATAGGTTTTATTTGTTTTCATGAACTGGATTCACTTCAAGGGTCAAACATGAAAAATGTCACTAACACTGCAGTTCCTCTGACGTCCAGCAGAGGCTCCAGCAGCGAGTTAGACCTCATAGACTGTTAACCTTTACAGAAGAAATAAACATGGTTATAACCTGTTTTAATAGCTCGACTGTTTATAGGTTTAAAGTTTGCATCATTAGGGGCGTGGCCTATTTGAGTGACAGGTGCTGTTGCTTTGTGGAGAAGTAGTTCAGTGTATTACACATTTTTCCAGCCAAGCCTGCTAGTGTTAGCTGCAGGAGCAATTTATATAAAAATTAGTGCTGTCAGCGTTAATCTGACGTGCACAGTATCAATGAGTTTGCCCACGTTAGCACGTTGACGCCATCCAGCCCCACGCACAGGGCGATCCGCGGCAGCTCATTAATGGAGGTTTGCCGCGTTAATACAGTTATGGCGTTAATGTCATTTTAACGAGATTAACGCTGACAGCACTAATTAAAATGAACCAAAATAGAAAATGCTAATAGCAGGACTCTGAAAAGGAGCCTTGTAAATCCAGTAGGTGATGGTAAGGTGGTTCTTTGATGTGCTGATGGCTTTTTTTAACAATGCAACTTAATTAGAGCTGGAGAATTAGCTAACTAGCTAGTTTAGTTATAAAGTTGTATCCGCAGTTCACAGTCATAGTAAAGGGATGCTAATTTTGGCTAACAGAGAAATGTTATGTACCCCACTTTGCAGTTATTTATTTGTAAAAAATGTTTGGAATCGTGAATGATTTTTGTTCCACTTCTCACATGTACACCACTTTGTGTTGGTCTTTCACGTGGAATTCCAATAAAATTGATTCATGTTTGTGGCTGTAATGTGACAATGGAAAAGTTGTCACATTACACACACATGTACCTCCTTACATTCTGAGTCCAGCCAGAAGCACGCAGGTTTGAAACAACAATTCAAAGGTCAAACAGAAATAGTGACATGGTGCTGCAGGATTTAACTGGAACACTTTAACAGGAGCTGCACCTTACAACCAGAACACAGGTAAGCTGCGTCTCCTGTTGCAGACTGACTCAGATTGGTTGCAGGTATTTGCAGACATTTGCTGATCTGTCTGAGATTGCAGTCACTCTGGACGTCCTGCGCAGTCGCTTTAAAATCATCAGTGTTGAGGTCGAGCTCAGAGGTCGACAATGTTGCAGGCTCCGCCTCCTCACAGCCAGTTGGACACCTCTGCTGTGTACGATTGGCTTAATACAGCTAATCTATGGGGACAGATTGGTGTTAAAATAAAACTATAAATGATTTGTGTTTAGTATTTCACAGATTAACAGCAACATCTATAAATGACAAATACGCACTGCTAATAACTCTGCAAGCTGCTTTCACATAAAGCAGACCTCAGTCTCGGGTCACCACACGTTCATTTTAAATTAGCACAGAGGCCACGGGGGCGGGTCAGAGTCCGCAGAGGAACAGAAGCTGATGTAAAGAACAACAAAGAGATCAGCAGCTTACAGCAGCTGACAGGAAGTGACGTGTTGTTGTGACTGCAGACGAAAGGTCGTCCCACCTCTGGCACATTCTCATCCCTATTGTTACGAAACCTGTGTGTGTGTGTATACTCGCCTCACAGCTCCAATGTTGCCGACGTTTGTTTCACACCTAAAACTAATGATGATGATTATCTGCAGCCACACGGTTCCTGCTGAGGACGCCGTGATGCAATCAGGCGGGGGCAGGGAAGGGGGGTGGATGGAGAAAACCAGAAAAACAAGCGTGGAGTTTAAGCTCATTGATGGAGGCTTGAATTGGAGGGAATATTGTGGAAGATTATTTTTAAGCTGCTGCAGACGGTTGGGGGGCGGATCCTCGGGTGGTTCGAGGACACGTTTAAAAATCGATCACTGATCTGATGAGTTTTTCTCTTTCTTCCATGTTTTGAGTGAGTGGTGAATGGACTGATTCTTATATAGTGCTTTTCTACTTTCCCAGAGTACTCAAAGTGCTCTAAACCACATGCACCCAATCGCAGCCATTCTCACAAGCACTTTCTGGGCACTTATTGCTTTCTAACTACATTCACACTCTGATGGATGCATCGAAGAGCATCTTGGGGTCAGTATCTTGCCCAAGGATACTTGGCATTCAGACTGGAGGAGCCTGGGATCGAACGACCGACCTTCCAATCAGTATGTGACCTGTTCTACCTCCTGAGCTACAGCCATTTAGGTCTCTGTTTTTGCAGTCCATGCCCACCCCATCGTCCAACCCCCCCACCCCCACAGAAGAATCTAAACACTAGCTCAGAGTCGTTCACTTCACTTCCTGGTCAAGGTCTTTAAGCTGTCCCACTGCAGGCTGGCTGTTCACGAGCTGGTCCTGGAGCTGGTTCCAATCCTGATGGGAACTTGCGGCTTCTGGGTTTCACGTTTCCGTTGTTCCTCGACCTCCTCATTTTCTTAGTTTTCCTCCACACACACGTGACTATTTCCTGTCACTGTTTCTTCTCATGTTTCATTCCAGCGTCGGTATTTCTGCTTCATCTCCGCCTTTACACTCAAAATAAAACTGCCCAAAAACGCGGACTTTGACTACCTTACAATTATATTTTCCATATTATAATAATTACACAGTAAACTGTTACATTTAATGGAGTCTGCTCAAATGAAATTTGATTTGCATACATTAAGTTTATTCCGAGCACATTTTTCTTATTTTAATGAATAAATGTCTTTCCTACATTTCAGTTGATTTTCACTCTGAATCATTGATTTGTGTTTATTGAGGGTGAGGAAGCGTTTTTATGATCTTCAGGTCTTCACGACGGCGTCCTGGTCTCTGACCTTTACGTGATACTTCCTGGTTGCTTTGCCTGACACTCTACATTTGACCTCATCCTTCAAATACATTTAATTTAGAGCTTGATCCTGGTCTCCACTGAAGCTCTCACAGATACAAACGCTGTTCTGTGCTCCGTCGTCACGTCAGGGTGAAGCGTCGACCTGCTGATTCATGAAATGCTTTCTGTCTTTTGATTCCAGGTTTGCCTCCAGGTGATCTCTGATGTGATTGGTTAGTGGTGTAAAAGGAAACGGTGGACGGCTGCAGTTTAGACTTCTGGCTTTACGTTTTCTGTTGGGGGGTTAAGATAATTCAAGAATTCCAGTTTTTCCAGCAGCTGTTTGAATGTAAGCTGAGGGTGGATGGAACCACAGACATCTGATCTCTGAATGGTTTTTCTCAATGATCGTGCAGATCCCATTTAAAAGGCATTAACAGCTGATCGGATCAGACCGTGATGGCTGATGGTTTGAGTGAGACTGACATCCGGTTTCCTCGGTGTCCATGTGAGGGAGACAAACTCTCACAGATCTCACAGCTCGCTCTCCTCAAACGCCTCAGTGCTGAACGCCGTCCAGCGCAGGCCGCCATGTTTCCAAAGTGCTTTCCCTTTGGAAACGATGTCTTTGAACTGCAGCTCATTGAGCACGCAGCAGGAACATAATTTAAATGAAGCACATCTTTAATGTATGTCGGCTCACAGCCTCCAACAATCATCATTGAGTGCTTTTCTTCAGATTTCCAGGAAAGTCCGACGCTGTCCAAGTTCTCGCTTATCGTCCAATCAAGACATTCATTTTTCTTCCTGGAATCTGCAGCTTAAGAAAAACTGTTCATGAACTAATGACAGACGGATATTTTAAATCCAGGCCTGTGAAATAAACTGCATAGACATCCATTACTGGTTTAGCAGTTATTAGCAGTTCTTTTATGTTTTTTACATGTGAATTAAAGTCTTGGACAGAAATGTCCTTAATTCCTTCAGTTCCACCACAAGGACTGGGTTTGAGGTTATGACGAGGGTCTTTGAGAAGTGAATCTGAAACAGGGCGCTGTGATGTGTTCATGTGTCCTTCAGGAGGGAGTTCGCTGAGCTGATGGAGAAGTACAGCTCCAACCACATCACGGCTTCAGGACGAATCTCTCCCACACAGCTGTCCACAGGTAAAACCCACCATCACGTTCGACATGAACATTCGATCCAGGACAAACCGAACCCTCAGACAGCCCTCTGAAGACATGACGACGATAGACACGACGGTACTCCAACAGCTCAAATGCCTGGAAATTCACAGCATGTGACAAAATCGCTTTGTGGTCACTTTCCAAAACTAACAGTCCTTTTAAAAGAGTCCATTACAAGTTTAATTTTTCATTTCCATGTCTGCGTGTCGCAGAACTGCGGACAAAACATCCTCACTAAATATGTTCTGACCCAAAAATGTCCCCAAGTTCTCGAAAAAGTAAAAAATAATAGTTTTACAAAGGTGTTGCGACTTTCCAAAAACATCACCACTTCTCAAAAATGTCCACATTTTCCAAAAATATCTTCACACTCTAAAAATCCTGTTACTTTCTAAAATAAAGTCCTCTCATGTTAGTCTGGTCCTCACAAAGTACAAAGTTTCAGTCCTGAGTCACTAAATTGATCCTGTGTTCCAGTTTTTCTCCATCCCGCCGCATCCCATCGTCCTCCGCCTCCCTCCGCCATTACATTTCTTCTCTCTCTCCCATGTCTTCCTGCTCACCTCTCTTCATTCTTCTTCTCGTTTCTTTAAAGGGAAGCTGACGGACACGGCCTCCTCCTCCTCCTCCTCCCGGTCAGAGAGCCCCCAGCTCCTCAGTCCTAAAGAGGGGGTCACGGCCTACACCCACACCGCCCCTTACCCCGCTAACCCCGCCTACGCCATGCACACACCTGTGCACGCCTTCAGGTAGGATCTAAAGAACAGAAATAACTCCCTCTCACGGTGATGCCTTCACTTCCCTGTAAACCAGAAAACATTCGACACAGATTCTGATTGGCTGTTTTATATTTATTATTAAAATACAAATAGTCTCAGAGACATAAAAACGCATAGAGAGCTAAACCCGTCCTGCAGTGAGTCTTCATGAGTAATTTCAACTTTCCAGCTGATTTATTCAGAGTTTTTAATGAAACCAACACAGCTGTTAAGCTGTGAAGTCCTTTCTTTGCCACTTTACACGCCACCTTCTTTACACGCTGCCCCTGTGTCACATCTGTCATGTAGCGCTGCGTGGCAGCAGGACGAGGACTCGGGCGAAAGCTAAACTGATAGCGGAGCTTTAATCACTGGAGAAAAAGGTTGAATACAAAAACAAAACTAGAAAAACGCTAAGAAACTAGGAACAAGAAAACCTGGAACCACGAGGAGACATGCACAGCACACAGAGAGGGAACATGATGGTTAACGAGGAAACACAAGCAGGACAACGAGAGGACATGAACAGGTGGGACAAATGAGACCTAACGACACAGGGGGAAGCAAAACTAGATACACTGCACACAGGAAAGGGACTATCAAAATAAAACAGGAAGCACGACACTCATAAAGACAGAAATAAAAAAGTGTTAAAGTAGAAACAGCGACGTGCTGTCAGACCAGAGCAAAACTCATCCAAACTAAGTAACAGGACAGCAGAGTCAGCATCCAGATCTATTCAAGTACTCGTGATGATGGAGCCTGGATCATATTATGGACTCATGATGGTATATATCAGTTTAATGTTCCAGCCTGAGCATTACAGGCTGGTTAGCTGTAGTTATAACATGCAGTGTTGGGAAGGTTACTTTTAAAATGTATTCCATTACAGAATACATGCCCCAAAATGTATTCTGTAACGTATTCCGTTACGTTACTCAATGACAGTAACGTATTCTGAATACTTTGGATTACTTAATATATTATCATGTTTTTTACAACAACGTGAATGTACTATTGCTGTGTGATTTATTACTGTTACTGAAGGTCCGCGACTCCGAACTGTAGTAAAGGGACCTCTGACTAATACGGCGGGGTCCCTGTCGGCTCGTAGCCGAAAAATAGCTTTACTTTGTTGTCTGGGTCAACTTTTCTTGCGAGAGACAGAGAGAGGCGTTGAAAGGCTCCAACGGAGCTTATTGTTTCAGAGGAAAACACGAACGCGGTGCACAGTCGAGTCTTAATTGTCAGGGCTCTGTGTGCGGGCAGGCAGAGATGAGGATCCAAATGCAGGACTCGGAAAACGGAATGTAACTCAAAAAACCTCAGCTTTATTGCTGGCAGGAAAACAAACATGAAGTGAGGATGGAACACTGAGCCCAAGGACACACAGGCATAATCTGTGGGTACGACGCGACACTGGGCATGGGAAAACACAGGGCTTAAATACACAGGGTAGTAATGAGGAAATGGGCCACAGAAGGGAGACACAGCTGGGAGAGATCAGGGCTAACGAGACATGGGGAACAAAGCTGCACACACTAACATAAGACAAAGACTTTCACAATAAAACAGGAAACATGAATCACAACTCAGAGACATGGACTCAACACAGAGACAGAAAATGAAACATGGAACTGAACTATACATGAAACCACCATTCCTAAAACATGGATAATAGAAACATGAAACTCTAATAATGATAATAATAATAATAAACATCACAACAAGAGAATGAGAAACAATCCAAAACACCAAGATAACTGAAACACAAAGTACCAGAGAAACAAAGAATAATCCATGATGCAAAAGTGAACCAAAACATAATAAACTCAAAATACTGGGTCCAACGGACCCAGAACCGTGACATTAATAGCTTACTTACAACTGGGCTCGTCAGGCACTCTTCTTGGCTGCAGTGGTTATTATTATATTTACATGCTTCCAGCTCCCGTTTTTCCTCGATGACTGCTCGTACCTTTCCACTCCCCTTTTTCTCCCTCCTCGCGCTCACAGACCCATAACGTGTATGGCAGTCCATTCTCCCTGCAGCACGGACTACACTGCCCATGATGCTACATTCGTTAGAGCTATGCTTGTAGCATTCTGCCTGTTAGCTTAGCACAACAACAACAACGAAAAGGCGCTCTCTCACTACATATCGTACTGTGTATGACTGTGTACGTGACAAATAAAATTTGAATTTGAATTTGAATTTGAAACACACAGTCGCAGAGAGAGAGAGAGAGCGTCGCCCTGTAACCATGGCAACCGTAACGCTGCCGCCTGGAACAACAGAACGTAGCTGTCAAACAAAACCCAAACAGTCCTGACCCGCGACAAAATGAAACAGGAAAGTACCGCAGTGTAATCCATTTATTTCAACAAAGTAACTGTATTCTGAATACCACCTTTTTAAACGGTAACTGTAACGGAATACAGTTACTCATATTTTGTATTTTAAATACGTAACGGCGGTACATGTATTCCGTTACTCCCCAACACTGTTAACATGTTAGTAGAGCGCAGTACTGACATCCATAATCAATCTGCAGTACTGCAGTACTTTAACTACGAGTACATTGAGTGGAGTCCAGGCAGTTTGTTATTGGACGGCGGTTACATAATAAACTATGATTCAGCTGCATGGAAACACCAGCAGCCACTAAAAATAGTGAAAAGCCTCTTCAGCAGTTTGAAGCTGGAGGAGGGTTAGAGATTATGACAGCGTGCTTTTTAATCTCTCTGTCATGCCGCCTCTCTCTCTGTGTCCTCAGTGACAGTGTCATTCAGTTGATATGTGTCGCCAAGGGAACAGGCCTGGGGCTCATCATCAAGGGCGGAGCCAACCGCCCCGAAGGACCAATGGTGTTCATTCAGGAAATCGCGCCTGGAGGAGACTGCCAGAAGGTCAGCATCTTTGTGGTCCGGTGGTTTGATTCCGATCATTCTGGATTCAGTGAGAACCCCGCTGGGCAGCCCGCTGTGTCTACAGCGGACACTAAAAATGCATCTGATATGATCCACTGGAGATTCACTGGGTTGATAACAGATAAGGTGACATGTCAGTCCTCAGCAGACTCAACTTCATGCCAGCAAAAGGCCAGACTACAGCACTCGCGTTATGCTCATCTATAATAATCATACCAACTTATACTGATAGTGTTTATGTGAGCATGCTGCTGAACACGCGGTCTCACTGCTCCTGTCTGACTGTGCTGCTTCAGGACGGCAGGCTGCAGGTTGGGGACCAGCTGGTGTCCATTAACAAAGAGTCGCTGATCGGAGTGACATACGAGGAGGCCAGGGGCATCCTGACACGCACCAAACTCAGGTACGGCACACCTGATACCGAACAGACATTGTGCAAATGACAGGATAGCACACAGCAAGGACATAAAGACACAGCTGTTCGTGTGCTGCTGTTGTTTCAGGTGCTTTTCAAAGATACAGCATCGTTTACTATTCAGAAACCATAAGATAGAAAATATTAGTAAATAATAAAAACTGAATAGAAACATAAACTGAAGGTCGTCTCTGATCACTTAACACTTAGAGTCCCCCGAGAGCAGCCATTTGGCTTTTCTACCTTTAAAACCCGCCTTGGCTGGAAGGCGGGTTTTAAAGGTAGAAAGGTAGAAGGCTGGGCACTGCTGCTCTCGGGGGACTCTAAGTGTTAAATCCAGACGTTTAACTCAGAGTCATCTTGTGTTCTAGACCCGACCCGACCGTGGAGATTGCCTTCATCAGGCGGAGGTCGTCCTCCAGCTCCAGCAGCGGGCCCCACAGCCCCATCTCCCTGCAGGGGTCTGGTGGTGGGGGTGGACCCCAGATAAGGGGCCCGGTCCTGGGCACCGTGCCTCAGCAGCCGGCCGTGGTTACCAAGATCACCTCCAGCCGAAACCCTGCCAGCGAGACTCTGCCATCAGTCAACGTCACCCAGGTCAGGGCGTGGACTCTGAGAGCCTCATAAAAGTTTATACAAACACAGGACACAGATTTGAGCTCTCCTTCTTTAAAGTTAGATTAGAGAGGAAGCAGGACGTCTCAGCACCGCTTTAACAAAAGAACCGCCTGGTGGTGGCGCTGAGTGTAAAGTCAGCACTAACAAGAGTCTGTTAGACAGTTTTTGATAGCCTGTCTGTGCAGGTACTTCAGCGCGGCCTGGAGAAACGTGTCGTCTCCACAGCTGAGAGCACAGATTTACAGACAACGTGTTAGTTGTCACTTCATTTATTTAAACTGTCAGTTTAATGTGAGAACAGAGTCACACGTGAGCATATCTGACACACACACACACACACACAGTCATTAACATGCTATGTTAATGTGTGAAAGCAGGTGCGAGTGTCTCCGAGCAGAGCAGAGCAGACACGTGTGTCCTCGCCTCCGGAGAGTCACAGCCTGCCTGAGACGAACCCCGGTACGTATCCACCGCTCAGGAAACGTCTGTGGTTTATTCACTTTGTTCACCTGCAGCTTTGTGACAGCATTTAACACCATGCAGGACGGAAACCACAGGTTTTCAGTAGTTTTAGGAACTTGGAAGAGTTTGTCTGTGAAGGTTCTCAGTCATCCAGGTCATCGTAGTCAAAGGAGTTTGCAAAGAAAAGCGTCTGGACTTCTTTAAGTTGCTTGAAGACGTTTCACCTCTCATCCGAGAAGCTTCTTCAGTTCTAAGGTCAAATGGTGGGGAGTCCCAGATTTAAACCTAGTGGGAGTATCCCCCCTAGTGGAAGAGTTTCCAAATACTCAACAGCTCTGATTTGCATAAAGTAGCTTAGACCTGAATTTCACGCAGTACGGAAATCTGCAACATCAGGAAATGGTACAGCAGAATCAGGAGAATGTGAACATATGCAGGCAAATGTGTGTTCACAGACGAGCCACCGTGAGCTGTTAATAAATGTCTGGAAGGCGGGTTGGGGGGCAGATGATGCGTCCTCCTGTCACAGGAGGAAGTGAGGTAAGTGGAGGTCTGGCCTGTGACTGGCTGAAGAGGTGCGGAGCATCACTGGGATCATGAGGAGGCCTGAGGTCTTTGTCCATGTGGGAAATGTTCTGTCTGATGGACGACCTGAGGCTGTCCCAGCAAACCAGTCCGACCTGTCTCCATGGTGATGTCTGAGGCTGAAGAAGACGCTGCTAGGGTCACAGAGCTAACACACCTGTAACAACACCTGCAGAGACACAGGAGGGTTGTGTTCTGGCATAAAGGAGGCATAACTCCTCTGCAATGAACAGAATTCAAATGTATTTGATTTACAATTACAATTTCATTATATTTACCTACAAATGTTTAAAGGTTTATACAGGAAATAATTCATGATAAAAATAATGAAACTGTAACAAATGTAAGTCGTGAGTAAGACTAAAAGAAAAGGACAACAGAACATAAAACCTGCTCCATCAAACAGCCGCAGCACAGAGAGAACAAGATGCAGGAAGATGGTTTTCTGCAAAATTACCATGAAACTGCACAGTGAATAAAAAGTGATTTAAATTCGTGTCTGTTTTCCTGTAAAATACACAGAATTTAGGCAGAACTTGCATTTACTTACTATCTCATTAATTCTTTCAATATTTAAAGTGACTTCATGATTTCTTTGAGATTGTTACCTCCTCGTTTAAGTGCACCGACCTTTAAATTTGTATCGATGAATGGTGTTACACGATCGTTTCAAATTCAAATTTCCTGGTTTTGTGGTTATGTGGTGGTAAACGTGATTCTTATACTCGTTGGCTCCTCATGGTTCATTCATGTTGTTTATTTAAATATTTTTTGTAATTATTTTTGAACATTTTGTGATTGTTGCATCTCTCTGTCACAATTTCTGGTCATTTTGCATCATTTTGTAGTTGATTTGTGGATATTTTGTGTATTTTTATTCCGTTTTTGAGTTTTCTTTTGTGTCTTTGTGGACTGTTACGTGTTTCGTGTCATTCTCTCCCTGTTTTCTGTGTGTGTGTTTCATCAGCATTTGTTGTTTGTAGTTGTTTTGTGTCTTTGCAGTAACCGTGTGTGTTCCTCTGCTTCCAGAGTCTCCGAGCAGTCAGCCTCCTCAGAGGAAGAGCTCCCTCAGCGACAGCTGCCGCCTCAAGATAGAAAGGTTGGAGCAGGTGAGTGTTTGTGAGTCGCACCTTTGAACGCTTCACGCTGACGTTGAAACAGCAGAGTCAGCAGGATGAACCAACCAGGAGGCAAGAAAAAAACCAAACACGTAAATCTGCACAGAAACTATCGAGTCCTCAGTGCGACAGCATGAGGTGATGATTTCCCTGCACGCTGACGGGAACGCCACGAACATCATTCAGCTTCATGGGAACCGAGGAAAAACCTTTTTGTTCCCAAATCCAAACAAAACACAAAATGTGTTTGTGTACTTCATCACGACACAACAGTGTCAGCTGAACCAATTCATGAGCCGATACTCTCTTCTAATTGGTCAGCGGCTGTTTGTCAGTGTGTGTTTGCACCATGTGAGCTGTGTATCGATCTGTGTGTGTGGTTGTGTCCAGGCTCTGGAGCTGATTGGCCTGAAGCCCTCCGACACTCAGCGGCAGACGCTCCGGTCCAGACTGCGAGCTGATCCGGCTGGGACGGTGGCCTTCACAGGTAAGACATCATCGCTCAGCTCACCTGTGGCTGTCCTCCTGCAGGTGTCCCTCATCCTCACACCTGTGCAGGACATCATGTACTTTTATTTGTATTTAGCTCTTGTTTCTTTTCATGATTGAAGGTTTTAAGCGCAGCTCTGAGGTAAACTGATGACTGTGCTGCTGTGTTTGGACCATGTTGGTCTCCAGCAGTCAGGAAGTTTCCTGCTGTGTCCTTGTTGGATGTTTTTAGCTGGAGTTTTGTTTCTCCTGCGTTCGGCTTTACTCGCCTCCTTCCCTCCTTTGTGCCCTCGGCGGTTTCACCTGGGAAACTGGGACTCGATTCTTCTGACGTCGCAGCGACTCGAGCTTTGCACACTTTCTGCTCACTTGAGTTAACTCAGAGCTTTTATTCTGCTTTGTGGGTTTTACTGCACTGTTTGAAAAAGTGAAGGAAAAGCAGAGAGCTTCAGTAGAAAGAATAAAATGTCTTTGTCTGCTGCTGGACATCAGAGTTGAAACGTAGAAACTGTTGCTGCTGTTGGAGCAGCTGTTTGAACTGAATTCTTCTGAGCAGCCGCCAGGTCGTCACCATCACACACAGAGGGGATCCATTAATCTCACTGTTCGTAGAATAAAAACAGAAGGTGTGGTCACATGGCTGACTGTGCTCAGAGATTATCCATATTGTGTTTTCATTCACCATTTGCACAGTTTAAAGGAGGCTTGGTGATGTGGCGCGGCAGCGTTGAAGATGAAAGTCAAGTGCAGGACGCAGATCTGCAGGTTTCGTCGCTGCTTCGGCCTCAGAGAGGCTCGGGTTGGCGTTCTGCCTCCTGCTGAGCGCTCGTGTCTGTTTTCTGTTCCCAGACTTCGAGAGCCTGATCAAGGAGCTGTTCAAGCCTCAGCTGGAGGAGCTGGGCGTCACGCAGCCCGGGTCTCGCTTCACGTCCGACGACCTGTTCAGCTTGCTGGAGTCGCCCAGCGACCCGAGGGTAGGAGCGTGCAGCACAGCGCACACGCCTGATGTCACCAGTGCTTTAAGTGGCCCAAAAGAGGTGCCGGTACTCTATTTTTTTTCCCCCTCCCCTGAGGTAACAACAACTATATTGAATGGGTTTTATATACAACAGTCAACAGACAACCTTATACAAAATAATAAATCATTTTATTACTTTGTGGATTTGCTTGGGCTAGAAAGAGCTACTGAACATAAATAAAATGTGCAAAAAGGTACTGAAATTTTTTTTAACAAAATGTACATAAAATAAATTATAAACTAATTTGTATTTTGCTCTCTCTTGAGTCACTGCTGCTATCAGCAGCAGCACTTGTAAAGTGTACCTGCAGAGCTTGGTAGTTCTCCCATACTGCTTTCACTGTTCTCTCACTTGAAGCAACCCAACGCACTGATAAAACACGGCCTATCACAAGGAGACGTTGTCCAACATTGTGAGCACTCTCGGTTAACTCCCTTTGGTTTTTTGGTGATGCATGGTAGAGGGAGTAAAGCTGATCTAAGAATATTTTAAAGTGGTTGATTCCTCCTACCTCCTTCAAAACATCACAAACTGCCAGTTCCAGTCTGTGATTGGAACAATGCCAGACAAACAGGTAAGGGAATTTGGAACAAAGCTGTGCAGCAACTCCTGCTTTCCTCCCAAGCATCACTGAGGCTCCATCACAAGCAAATGCCAACAAATGTTCCTGTAGGTAGTGAGGGTCAAAGCCATTATTATGAAGACATCCTAACAGTGCTTCAGTGATGTCCTTTGCTGTGGTCCCCTGCAGCTAAATCAGTTCAAAAAGTATTGTGTCTGGATTTTCACTGGAAATAGCTGACCGCAGGCACACGACAAGCACAGACTTTCCACTTATTGTAGTGGATTCATCAATGAGCACACACAATTTTCTTTCATTCATCACTATGTCATTGACTACCTTCTTTTTCATTTCAGCTGCAATGTGATCCAGTATATTTGCACATGAGTTATTAGAGTGCAAAACTCTGCCCATCTTGACACCATTTAAGACTTGCAACTGGACATCTATTGGCATGTCTGTAAAGGGACGCCCATGCTTGCCAATCTTATAAGCTGTTCTAAACACATTGCAAGTTGAAGCGTAGTCAGCCTTTCTCATATCTTCATTGTGTTTTTGCATTGTATTTTGTGTTGCCTTCTCTTTTATTTCAACTGCTTTCTTGTGATAAATTGAGTCTCTGTGCTCTTTTATTTTCTTTCGTAGTGAGTTTTGTTGTGCAGCCTTGTCCCTTCCAAAAGACGAGATTAAGCACCCACTCCACTCCTGCGACACTCTCTGCCCTTGCTGCATGTCCACGCGAGCACAAACTTGACAACACACACTACAACCCAACTTTTGATTTCTGCTGATCAGCCACTTGTAATTTGTGGAGAAATACCGGACTTGTGCTTGGGACCAACATTCTGGCCACTCATGCTCGCTAACGCGGCTGTTGTCATCGGTAGAAATGGTGTCATTCTCGTCCTCGTCGTCGCCAAAAGTGCCGTCGTCCGCGGCTGCGACACTAGTGCAGCTTTCATTAGCTTGCGTCTGACCTGCAGCGATATCATTCTGGCTTGGTGGGGTGTCAGCCAGCGAGTCCTCTGATTCTGACCTTGTTCTTTTACTACTCAGAGTCTGATGCCAGGAGAGCATATTAAGTGTTCATTGTTTTTGTATTTTAACGAGCAGCTGTTTGCGCGTTTTACACACACTCTCCGGACCACGTTGAGTTGTTGACATGACAACGGCAAAAGCGACGCATGCGCTTTTCACTTGTAAAACACATTGGTGTATGGGTAATGTAGTCTCTGCTCTCGGTGGGACGAATTAGGAAGCGTGCTTGTGAAGGGCGCTCTGAAAAGCGGCAGCGCAGCCAAACGATTATAACAGATGTGCAAATGAGAGTACCGGTACGCTAAAAGCACGTCCTGGGCGCATGGAGAGGTGGCGGTACTCTCAAGAGCTATATTTAGAAGTGGCGGTACTGAGTACCGGCGCGTACCGGCCCACTTAAAGCACTGGATGTCACACAGTTACTGAACTATATAAACAACTTTTAACTGTAATTTACTTTAAACTCATAGAAAAGATGCTGAGTGACTCATCCTGTATGTATGCACGTATATGCAGCCTTCAGGAAAAGCACAACAGAGTACTAACACAGTTTTCAGTTTTGCAGTGCAGACAGTGTTTGTAGAATATTACAGTATGTTAAAGTATGTGGGGGGTGTGGGGGGGTCATCAGTGTCAGTCACAGCACGGAGATGGTGGAGGCGGTCACAGCAACAGAGCAGGGAACACCTGGAGAAGGTGTAGGTGGGAATGATGCTGCCTGTGCGGCGTTTCTAACGGGATCGATTCTGCTTCTTTATTTTTATCTTTTCATTTTATTGTTTATTAGAATAAAAAAGTGACCTTTAAGCTCCAGTTTTACTTTGCTGGTTATAAGCAAAATAAAAACGTGGACATGGTGAGCAGTCGCTTTATTTATACGTCTGTTAGTACAGTATGAGTGATGATGTCATCAGATGATGTCATTAACAATGCTCCCAAAGTCTCCAACAGAACAAACACTGCTGTAAAGTTTTAATATGGGAGTCAATGGGGACTCACTGCTGCCTCCGGTGGTTTTCTGAGATCACCTGGATTCATCAGACTGAGGATCATCCAGGTTTAAGTGAACAGGAGCACGTGATGACTCCACGTCCACTCCACTGTGGACGCTGCCATTGAACAGGAGGGTCCTATCAGCAGAGCTGTGCTGGGGTCACACAGGGTCACACAGGTCACACAGGTTCGGTGGACTTGAGAGCAGCAGCAGCTGCACCTGTGAGAGGATACAGGTGTGATTAATGTTCAGGTCATCGTCACACAAGCCTCAATGTGCTGCTTTCACTCGCTCTTCATCATTTACGGCACTTTCAGCCTGACACTCACGCTAACGAGATGCTAACGAATCGTTCTCTGTCGCAGATGTTTCTGATGTGTTTGTGTGTTTGTGCAGCCGTCACTGTCGGACTCAGAGGACCTGGAGGAGATGGAGCGGCTCAGGAAGGAGCACATCGAGGCTCTGAGGGAGATCAAGAGGCTGCAGGTAGACTCACGCCTGAGTCATTTTGTAGAATTCAATCATATCCAAAGAAAAGTGGGCTTCAGTAAATATTCTAAAGTGTCGGTTCTGATCTGCAGGAGCAGCTGGTCGAGTCTCAGAGAGTCCACCATCAGATGGAGGAGGAGCTCAGCAAGGTCAAACAGGTGAGTCACGCCTGCTGCACTCATCCGACCTGCGCACGTGTGTGAAAACAGGAAGTCATACACAGGTCATGTGTTGGTCAGTGGCTGTGGTGGATGCTGGAGTCAGGAGTGTGTGTGAGACGAGGTGTGATCAGCAGGTGGAGCCCTTCATACACACACACACACACACACACACACACACAAACCGACCTGCAGGTGTGATGATAAAGAGCTTGTGTGTGTGTGTGTGTGTGTGTGTGTGTGGGAGGACTGTGAGCCCCGTGGTGAATCTGTTTTTATTTTGGGCTCTAGAATAGCTCCTCCTCCTCCTCCTCCTCCTCCTCCCCACATTGTGTTTGTTGTGATTCAGAGCTGAAGGGTCTCGGCCTCTCTCGCTCCCGCTCGGTTGCATAAATCAATCAATATCTACATTTAGCCGACAAGTGCACCATAACAACAAAGGCCGGTGGGGCGTTTCCTTACCTGAGTTTCAGACCCAAGGAGCAGAAATGAGGAGGATGCAGAGCTGAGCGTTCACTTCCTGCTCTGCAGTCGCGCCTTTAGCTTCTCGCCGAGTGTTGGCAGGTTTGCAGACATTGGACTTTTTCTATTCTTTGCTTTTTCATAGTGAAACCTTTTTCTTCTTGGACTCTGCCAGAGCAGCTTTGCATGACACACAGTTCATAATAATCATTCCTTATGTGATTCTGGGCCTTGGTGCAGGCCCTCAGTTCATCCTCTGTCTGAAACAGGTTATTTTAGCCCCGCCCATTGTGAACAAAACGCTAATGGGTGGGTCCTGGGATATCTCCCATCTATGACATCATACAGTTAAAAGAGTAAAAACACTGTGTGGAACTGAGTGTCAGAGCAGTCTGTTCATCCAGTGGCTTCATTATTAGAAACTTTGACCATGCTAATGAACATCCAGGGGAAACGCCCCCTGCTGACCATCAGAAGGAATGCAGTACCACTTCAGTGTGCACCTGAGGTGCAGAGGCACTGCATCAACTCACAAACTCTAAGAACACTTTAAAATATTCTGAAGTCTACTTTGCGTCTCTGTCATCTGTCCTGGTATAAAAGCAGGTTTTAAGCAACGTTAGCTGCTCAGACATGTCCTGGCTGCCTGCAGTCACATCAGGGCGCAGATCACGACTGTCAGCTTCAGCGCTGCCTGCATATTTAACAAACCTGCACAGCTGAATTAAGCTGACAGCCTTTAATCGTCTGAGGGAGGATTTGATCAGGTTTCCAGGCTGGAGTCACTTAGCCTTCCACACTCACACTGTGTTTGCATGCAGATAAATCACCTGGACATCATTATTGTTATTATTATAATCTGATCCAGGTTCCGCCTGTTTCGGAAACTGTGTTTGCTTGTCAGTAAAAGTCGTTGGAGGTGTGAGTCGTTGGTGCTCCTGAATAAGCTGAAGTGCTTTTAATATCCTTTGTCTGAGCGTGGCATTTTAACGGCTCTGCCACAGCTTTCAGCGCAGCCTCCAGCTTCGAGATGGAGAAGTTATGTTATTATTACATAACAGTCAAACAAAGCAGGAAGCAGCCGTCGGTGCAAATGTGAGTGTTGTTTCTCAGGGAGCACAAAAACCTTTGGTCTGGGTAGAAGCGGGACCGGCCGCTGCTCTTTTGTTCCGCCGCGCGCTGCCAGGCTGTACAGCTTGTGCACAGCGAGGGATTTTTCTTCCATTATGCTGCCTTTTCTGGGGAGCGAGCAGGCGGGCGGAGGAGAGCGGGCTGACATGCTCCTTCATTAGAGATGGAAGTCAGCCTTTAAGACGGGGGGGGGCTCTCAGAGCCCCTCGGGCCCCCCTGAAGCCACAGCTGGAGGGAAGAGAGCTCAAGCTGGGATCCATTAGTTACCAAACCATACACCACACACACACAGACACACACACAGACACACTCACACCTCATCTCCACACTTAGTGGACACTCTACACTGGAAACCATCCAGGAGTCTAATTTTACCAGCCAGTGTGTCCCAGTTCTGAGCCACTCTGCTCTGATGGTTACACTTGTGCTGTGTTGTTGGACAGCGTGTCGCGCTACTGTGCAGCACAAATTACAGTAAATGATGTCCTCCAGAGGCACAAAGTAAAGAAAAGACTTGCATTCCTGTTGGACTCCATTATTAAACGAGGACATTCATGCACAGCGATGTTGTCACCCTGCCCGTGGACCGTGGTTTCATGTAAAGAAAACCCAGTAATTATGTTCTTTATGATGAGGGCAGCGAGTGAAGCATGGCCTGTATATAAAAGATGGATGTAGTCACCATGACATCACCCACTGGTTTTGGTCTCGTTAGCCTTTTGGCAGTAATAATGTTGTTATTTGGACCATATATAAAAGTGAGCGTGGACCGACACTTGCTCTCTGGGTTGTTGGAGACTCAAGTGGCCATCAGAGGAACTGCAGTTTTTTTGAGTAATTCCACGTTGGGTTTATATTTCAGTCCTGGAAGCTCCTGTGTGAAGGTAATGTGCTGAATTAAGTCGATGTATGTGACCTTTGCAGTTGTGACAAAGTTTAAAGTTATCACTGTTGTTTCATTTTAGGTAACTATTCATATACTGAAGGAGTGGCAGGTAAAGAAGTGTGTGATCCCCCTATAGATGGAACACACCCTCCAGTCCCACTTCTTAAAGATCACCACCCCAGCCTGCCAATCCAGAGGTACCACTCCTGATCTCCACACAATATTGTAGAGGCGTGTCAACCATTACAGCCCTAAAACGTCCACAGCCATGCTGGCACCTATTGGCTGCCTCCAAAGTCCCACAGGGTATCCCAGCGGGATAGTGCTTCTTCTTCAGCCGTTCCCCTCACCTGTGAGGGGGTTACCACCATGACAGGCACCAACCTCCTTGTAGCCGTAGAGCAGTGCAGCAGCTTCAGTAGTGTAGGTGCTGACCACGGTCCATTCAGACTCAATGTCCCCATGTCTCCCCTACTCGGACTGACTTTCCTCGGTTTACCACAGTTTTCACTCAATAAGTCATGAGAGCATCTCGTTCATGAAAATCAAAACTGCCATTTTTGAAACCCGGCAATGAGGGAAATGGCTCCAAGAAACGACGCTATGGTCCCCAAGTCTGGCGAAAAGCCACAGACCGAGCAGCAGGTATATTCTTGCCTCAATGTCCACCTTTGTTGTAGCGTTCGTGTCGTATGCAATGTAAAATCACTCGATCTGAGTTGAGCTGTGGTGAGTCGATCCGAGTAGGTGTTTTTGGGAAAGGTGCTCACATGTTCAGGCACCTTCCATCGCAATCAGATATGATGATACGATCTCAAAATTGACCTGCTGCCTAGGGTGTCCTGGTGCCACGAGCACTTATGGACACCTTTATGTTTGAACATGGTGTTTTTATGGACAAACTGTGGTTTGCACGGGAATCCAGTACCAGAACACCACTGGGGTTCAGACCTGGGAGGCCATTCCTCCCAGTCACGCCCCTCCATGTCTCACTGTTGTTGACCAGATAAGCGTTGAAGTCTCCCAGTAAGACATTTTTTCAAAGTTTCCAAAAAACTTTCCCCATTCAACAAAAAAAAAACAATTCATTACTTTTGCTTGATGTCCCTACTTTCCATTAATGTCCTCGCTCCAAAGGTTAAAACCTTAGATTGGTCCCCACAGAGCTGGAGTGGTGGACATGAACATAAACCTCATTCTTGAAACGGCAGTTTGCAGATTTTTTAATTACTAGAGAAAATTGGAGGTAACAGATGGATGACACACACTATGTGTGTGTGCGCGTGTGTGTGTGTGTGTGTGTGTGTGTGTGTGTGTGTGTGTGTGTGTGTGTGTGTGTGTGTGTGTGTGTGAGTGTGTGTGTGTGTCCAGCATTTCAGAATCTTGTTCATAAATCATTGCATTTACTTCATGTGTGTTCTGTTAGCTTCCACTGCATATGATGTCGCAGCAGGAGGATGAGAGCTGCCAAATTCTCCCCAGTCTGCTTCCTCTTTGCCTCGTGTGTGTGTGTGTGTGTGTGTGTGTGTGTGTGTGTGTGTGTGTGTGTGTGATCTCAGGCACTCAGAGCTCAGTAAACCCTCAGTTTCAGACAATTTGTTCTCATTATAGCAGATAAATATATTTCTTTTTTGCCTGCATGAGTATCTTTACATGAGGGGGAGTTTTGGGCCCCCGTGGTGTTTTGCATGCTCCTCTGTGAAATCTTGCAGTGTTTCTTTCCTGGTTCGTGTTGCACTGAGTGTTGTGACAAAACTCAGTGTTCACTCTGATCTGTTAGTGCCACCAAAGATCAGTTTACCGTGCGATGTTTATTTCAGCGCTGCAGGGTTACAGGTTATTGGCTGCCAGTGTGCCAACTGTACTGGGAGTGGTTGCTTCCAGTTATGAGTGTCTAATTATTGCTGGTGTCTGTTTCACTGCCCTGAGAGTTACATAACCTCCACGCTACAGACTGGCTCTCCCTCTGCATCAAAGATCACATGGGGTCAAAGCCCAGCTGGGCCCGTATGCCAGCACATATTTCCCTCTGGCCTGTAGTGCTTTTATTCATCTGCATAGCTTGAGTTGTGACGTGCTCCTGTTTGCTTTATCGAACATGGAGCTCCAAATTTCTCATGGTTTTCATCCAAGTCTGAGGCCACGGTGGTCAGCATGAAGAGGTGGAGCGCCCACTCTGGCAATGGTTAAGTGTCTCGGGGTTTCCCGGGCGAGTGTTGGGGTGATGCCTGCGCACTCTGCACCTATAGCAACAAGCTGAGAGCAGTGACATACAAGCTTCCTCTGAAGGGTGTAGCTTGGATTTCTGGGACTTCAGTCAGTGGAGGTGGTTTGGGTGTCTGACCAGGGTTCCTCCCGGGTGCCTCGTTGGTGTGGTGGTTGTCCAACTGGCCTTGGGGCAGGAAATGATGTGCTTTAGCTGGTCTGTGAGCTCTTACTCGTATCTCGCTCTTAGAGCTGCAGGCAGGGCTGGACTGGGACAAAAAATCGGCCCGGGCATTTTGACTAGAGACCAGCCCACCAGGTATTACAGGAAAAACCATAAAGCCTTTGAATGAAAGCAAACGCTGTGGTGACGGTGATGTACAGTCTTGTTGGTATATGTATGATTTCTATATGTTGTACATCAGATAAAAACTTTGGTTGTAAGATTCAGATAATTATTTAATAAAAGCGAGACATTTTAAATGAGAATAAGAAAGTATTTCTTTGTGCCCCCCTCTCCCTGTTAATGCCCTACCTGCCCCCTGGCAACACTTTGCTAGACCCGCCCCTGCACAGTCACCAGCTGTCAGCTACACAGAAAAGGATCCTGGTGTTATTTGTCTCTCAGAAACAGTTCATAACTTCAACTCATCCATGTCACCTAAAAGGTAAACCTGTTTCTCCATCACAGCTCTGATGGTTCAGTAAGGACATCTCCTGGTTTCATCTTCATGTTTCCCTCTCACCACATATCCAAACCATATCATGACCAGCAGCTTTACAGCTGTGGCTCCAGCAAACATCAGCTGATACTAGAAATTAATATTAAATACATTCTAACAACAGCTGATCAAGCTTAAACGTGCTGCTGTTGTTTAGCGCGACATCCACTGGTTTCTTCTTTCTGGCGCAAAGTGGACGATAAACAAACAAGAGAGCCGATCAGCTGATCACTGATCAGTTTCATGATTGAAGTAGAAACAGGAGAGAGAGGGGAGAGAATGAGAGAAGAAGAGGCAGCTGCAGCGTAAAGACACAGAATAAATCCAGCTTTGTGTCTTTTTCATTGTAGCTGAAGTCTGGGACAAACTGTGTTCCTTTTCACCTCAAAACGAAATGTGTAATATTTTCTCTGAATACCAGACGATTCCGTCTTTTTACGGGACGGTTGGCAGCTACTAACTTATGAATAAAATAAAGTTCACTATCAGTAACATCATAGCACCACCCAGCTGTATAGAAACTCCGTCATGCTAGCTAGTAGCAGTACGAGTTATTGTAACTGACTGTAAAAAGTCAGCACAACGAAAATAAACTAAACTTGGTTCATATCTGACCCAGATAGACTGCAGCTCATAACTTCTTACCTGGAGTTCAGTTCACCGCCTCGGGGCTCTGCTCCTCCTGCCTCCCCTTCCCCTCATCCACCTGCTGGCCTCTGTGGAAGCTCCGCCACAGCCACCACCAAACAACTGAGTTGTTTTTACACATCTGCCAGCATCTGGCCAATACACCACCTTTCACTGTTTATACTGTTATAAAAAAATAAAATAAAATAAAAAATCATCGGCCCATAAAAACAAAAAAATCAAATCACCGAGCAAATGCCCGGTGGGCCGATGGCCAGTCCAGCTATGGCTGCAGGAGGTGGATAAGTGGGCGAAGAGTTTGGGCTTCACTGTGAATGAAAAGCTGCCAGCTGCAACTGAAATATGACTAAAATTGAGACAGCATTTGTTGTGCTTTGATTCTGTAGAGAAACTAACAGGTTTAGACACATCGGTGACTCATTGTTACACGGCTGTCGTTCACACTCTGTTTGACACAGGAGTAAAAATGTTTGTTTGCAGAGCAGCATGTCAGCGTCACTCTGAGCTGGTGAAAGGTGTGTGTTTAAAATGCTGCTGGTCCACAGAGCCCAGCCTTGTTCACTTTGACCTGACTGAATGTGGCTTTGTGGTTTTTGCAGAGTTCAGATCGGGCACAGTGCTGACGTTTTGAAAAATAATGAGCCAGGAGTGAGACGAGGACATGAAGTAAGCTCTGTGTCTTGTTTTTGTTCCAGCATTGTTACGTAAGAGAGCGCCAGCCAGTCAGTCGGGCCCAGCCGCGCTCTTAAATCACACAATCAAACAATAAGAGCTCATTCCGAGAAAAACTCCACCAACAACAACAACCTGCCAAAAAGCGACGATGACCTGTCGTTTTATTTTTAGCTCAAGCATTACTCATGCTGACGGTGTGACTGCACAGAGACGTCTGAGTCTTAACAGCGACTGCAGTGCTCACTGAAATATCACCTGGTCAATGCACCGTCATGAAATGTTATAATGGCATTCATGGTCCTCAGAGGATGACGTCTACTGATGCTGACGGCTGGTAGATTCTGCTCACTCTGGAGGGCATGGTCATCGGCCTCTGGTAACACTGTGAGGGACCTTGATCAGGAAACGTTCTTCAGTGCAGTTCATGCACAAATATGTAGGACTGCTTTCCTGCCTGGTTCTGCAGGAGGTTTCTTCCTGTTCAAAGGGAGTTTTTCCTTCCCACTGTCGCCAAAGTGCTTGCTCACAGGGGTTGTCTGATTATCTGTGTTACTATAGGGGTTTTAGCTTACAATAAAGTGCGCCCTGAGCCGACTGTTGATGTGAAATAAATAAAATGAATTAGCATCTCATAAACTGCATTTGTGGAACGTTTATAAGTGTCAGTGTTGTTTTAAATGATTAGAGGTTTATTTTAACCTAGTTTTATAAAAATGAGTGCACATTAAAGTCAGTTTAAAGACACTGAAAACCATTTTTCTGCTCCTCATTTTGTCTCGACTTCATCTGGTCCTTTAGTCTGACTTTCTAAGGAGTCTTTCCTGTTTTGGAGTTTCTATCAGAATCAGAATCAGAATCAGAATCAGAATCAGAATACTTTATTGATCCCTGGGGGAAATTATTTTTTGTTACAGTGCTCCATTTTAAACCAACATTAAGACAAGACAGACAATACGCTAACTAAGAATAGTACAATATATACATATATATACATACATACATACATACATAAGTCACTTATAAATAAATAGTTGGAAAAGAAACATGTGTAGTTGTAGCAGCAAACAGTGTGTTAAGTGGATGCGTTGTACAGGGAGATGGCCACAGGCAGGAATGATTTCCTGTGTCGTTCAGTGGTGCATCATGGGTAATCTCAGTCTCTCACTGAACGAGCTCCTGTGACTGACCAACATGTCATGGAGTGGGTGGGAGGTGTTATCCAACATTGTCTTTATCTTGGACAGCATCCGCCTCTCCGACACCACCTTGAGGGAGTCCAGCTCCATCCCCACAACATTGCTGGCCTTACGGATCAGTTTATTAAGTCTGTTGGCATCTGCGACCCTCAGCCTGCTCCCCCAGCATGCAACAGCATAGAGGATCGCACTGGCCACAACAGACTCATAGAAAATCCTCAGCATTTTCTGGCAGATGTTGAAGGACCTCAGTCGCCTCAAAAAATAGAGACGACTCTGGCCCTTCCTGTAAAGTGCTGTGGTGTTTTTAGCCCAGTCCAGTTTATTGTCAATGTGTATCGTTCTCCTGTTCACTGCTAGTTTACTTGGATTTCATGGCTTTTGGATCTTGGCTGTAGCCTACAGATCTCAAAGTGAAGCCGATGATTACGTGCTTCAAACCTGCATTATTTCTAACGATGGGGTTAATGTCAGTGAGAAATTCCTTGCTCACCTCTTTCACATTTTCCTGATCAATTCATGGTGTCAGCTGCTGGTAAAAATCAAGATAAAGGTTTAGTGCCGTGAGCGTTCATCAACAGTTTGATCGATCTTTGTCACCAGACGGAGGTTTGTTTTATTGTTTTGATGATAACGCTGCTCTCCAACCGTAGGTAACCTTATCACAGACAGAGGTATGCTGAGCGCTGACAGGCCTGCTGGGACTCGACTGCACAGCCTGCTGATTCAGAGAAACGTCCCCGAGGCCACAGCAAAGAGCCTCATCACACTAACTCATCCTGACACCACGAATCCCAAATCATGGCACGACCACCTGGGAGGCCTCTCAAAAGCACTGAGCAGGGCCTGAAAGCACCACTGAAAGTCTACTGAGTAATCCCTCAGGTTCTTCTTCTACCCCATCCTCCCCCTCTCCTCTTCCTCCACTCTTTCTGACAGGAAGTGAAACACAGCGCGGAGGAGAGCCGAGCTCTGAGGACTCGAATCCAGCTGGCTGAGGCAGCCCAGAAGCAGGCCAGAGGGATGGAGATGGACTACGAGGAGGTGATCCACCTGCTGGAGGCTGAGATCGCAGAGCTGAAGACTCAGAGGATGGAGCACCAGGCACCAGCCAACAAGGTGACTCACACCACATGGATCAGTTCACGGTAGGCACCGAGCAGAGCTGCTCTCTGACGATTACCGCAGAGTCCCGGTCAGCTAAGTACTTTTATTTCTCTAGATTATGTGTGAAACCATTTTCAGCTTCAGTTATGTGGCACATTTATAAAACTGGAAGGATGAGGAAGCAGGAAGGCAGCTGACTGCACCGTCCAACCAGCCACCAAGCAAACCCATTGACCCAAGACCACAAAGATCGTCGCTGAGTCATCGTAAAATCAAACATTTCTATGATGATAGTGAAAAAACAGCAACCTTTCTGTCATGTAATGGTTTTTCTATTACTTTAGTGCAGCATGTTTGCAGCCTGGGCTTCTGTCTCTCAACACGGGAACAATGAAAGGGGAATATTAAAAATACAGGCTTTTTGGTGCCGGGTTATTGCTGCTCCAGGTCCTGGTTTCGTCTTCAGGCCTGAATGTGGGTCAGGTGTATTTGGTGACAGAGCCGCTTCCCTCTCTGACGTAGGCTTTGCAGAAATCCGCTCAGCGTTGTTTCTCTGAGCCATCGGCACAAAACAAAAGTCTGCAGAAAGAAACAAAAGTGCTCACACTGGAAACAAAGAGCTTTTGTCCAAACGCCAGAGCACGACTGCATGCAAACACTCCTCCTTTTCATTAACAGCTTTTACTGGTCACGCACCAAAGACAAGCACAGGAAATGAGACTTTTGTAAGATGTTTGGCCTCTTTGGCTCCTGTCTGTGTTTGTGGTGTCTGCTTTAGTCTCCGTGAACCAGTTCATCGAACACTAATTTACAGTTAAATGACCTGTTTCAGGGTCGCCGGCTCCACTGCTTTTAATTTAACATATTTATGATCGTTTTAAAAAGCGCTGAGAAAGGGAACTGAAAAGGTTGGACGTGTAACAGCCAGTTACAGTTAAAGCAGAAACAGGAGCCAAAAATGAGCTTTTTGTTTTACTGAAGAGAAGCTTGATGCAAAAGTATTTAAACAGACAGGGAGGAAGCGGTGACACCCGAGGGGGGTAGCTCAGCAGGTAATCACAGTGGGAAAAACTGTGGGCAGGAAGTAAGGACTACTTTCTTTAAAGGACGAGATGTGAAACAGGAAGTGCACAGGAGACGAAGATCATAAATGTCCAGAACCTGAATGTTTTTGATCTCAGGAGGAGACGGACGAGCTGAAGAAGAGAGCGGCCGTCCTGGAGTGTCAGCTGCGGAAGAGCGAGGCGGCCAAAAAGGGTTTCGAGATGTCAACGGGAAAACTGCTGAGCTTCGTGGAGGTAAAACTTTTCAGCTTTCAGACATCACGATACAGCAACACTTTCAAAAATAGTTTCATTCACAGTCATTGTTTGTAGGGGAAAGACTCCCATTGACCCAAATGGCAAAGGTCATCTTTAAAAGCAGATGAGGTTTGAGTGGAGATCACAGAGTGAGAAGTAAGAGATGTGCTCGCTGCTGCTGTGGGTTTGAAATCAGATCCTTTCATCAGTGTTGACTGTCGACAGAGAAAATAATGGCCTTCAGATAACTCTCATACCGAGGAGACGTTTTACATGAAAAGATGTTTTCAGCAGGATTATTTCTGTTTATGAAATAAGTTTTTGGTGCAGCTGGAAAACAAAATAAAAGACAAAGAAGAAAACAAACAACCTTCTTTTTTGTTTGTTTGTTTCTGCAGAATGTTCAGGAGTTCCTACTCGAAAGTCACAGCCCCCCAAAGAGCTACAGGTAGAGTGTGTGTGTGTGTGTTCTTGTAAATATATTCTTGTGAGAACCATTGTAAATGTTTCACCTTGTGAGGTCCTCAGTGTGATAAAGGACTTCACTGTTAGTATTCAGTAAATTTACTATAGCAAAAGTACTGCAGTAAACTCTATGGGTAAAAGAGTAGTGTATGTTAATGTACTGCAGTATGTGCAGTACTAACTGTAATGCTGTAAATGTGCAGCAGGTTTGCAGTGACGTGCTGACCAGAGCACAGAGAGTCAGTGACAACGAGTCAATGGCAATGTGAAGTTAACAGGTGGCGAGCGATTAAGAAGCTGTTGACAGACATATGAGGAGATGTTAAATAGGTTAGAGGGTTACCTTGGCAACCACATCCTGGAAAGTCCATTAAGGACAAACCATCAGCCACGACCAGCAACCAGCTGATCACTTCCTCTGCTCACCTGGTTTCTCTCATCGGTTATTTTGACATTAAAGTTGCTGAATCTTATTGACTTTCTGCTGTCATTGCTTGAGATGGGCTTATACAGAGCCTGAGAGTGCATCATCATCATTATTATTATCATTATTATTATTATTATTATGGTCCTCAGGGTGCCCACAAAGACAGCTGAATCACAAACCTGTGTGTTCGATAATAATTGAGAGCCTGCTGTTCGTTAGCGACGCGGTGGCCGTCCTAACGAGTCAATCTGCTCAGTGTGAGCTGGTAAAGCGGTCGCTATAGAAACAAGCAGCCTTCATCTGTATGTTTCATTACTGTGTGTGTGAATTTACATCAGTGTGTGTGTTTGTGTGTGTGTGTGTGTGTGTGTGTGTGTGTGTGTGTGTGTGTGTGTGTGTGTGTCCCTACCTGAACAGGGTGGTACAGTGGAAAGAGAAACTTGAGTTCACCAAGTTTCAAACACACGGCTCAGTTTGACCCGTCAGGACAGCTCACGTGTGTGTGCACAGTATATGTAATAATGTGTGTTTACAGGTTACTGTGTGCGTGTGTGTGTGTGTCTGTGTGTGAATAGACTGTGACTGCGACCCCGACACCTCAGTCTGTCACGTAATGATCCAGCTGAGAGCAGAGGCCATTAGCCCAGGTTACACACACACACACACACACTCTCTCTCACACACTCTCACACTCAGCGGTCCAGCTTGACCCACTTCAGTGCAGGTAGGACAGCAGTTACTTCCTGTTAATGGTCGCCCGCAGTGAGCGGCGGTGAGATGGCGGCGTTATGAAATGAGGAGCGTGTGTGAGGTCACTCTGTGCTCGTTATCAACAATCATCTGATCAACTTCCACAAAGACACCAACAAAGAAGAGTAGGTCACACGTTACAGCACTTCCTGATCTAATTTCCTCGTTTTTCAAACTCTCATCCTTGTTTCCTCTCTCCTTCCTCATATTATCCTTTCCATTCTTTTATCCTTCCTTTTCCTCTATTTTTTTTTGTTCTTTCCTTTTTCATCTTGTACGTGTCTTTTCTATTTTAACTCTCCTTCCTCACAACCTTTCTTTCTGCAGATTTCTCCTCCTCTCACTCCTTATTTCCATCCATCAGTCTCCATCTTTCCTTCCTTTCCATTTTCCTTATTTCTGACTTTCCTTAAGTCTTTGTCTTTCTAATTTTTTTTGTTCCATTTCTCTTTCTATCTTTCCTTCTTTGCTGTCTTTCATCTTACCTTGTGCCCTTTATTACTGTCATCTTTCCTTTTCTTATCCTCTCAGCGTTAATTTAACCCCCCAGCTCTTCTTCTTCTTCTTCTTCAGTGTTTATTCGATTTCTCCTGCCTCCTCTCTCTTTTTTCCTCTTATCACCTCCTCATCGTGGTTTCCTCAGCTCCTTCTGGCTGCTTGTGTAACTCTGATTCAGTGAATCGGGTCACTCGGTCAGGTTATCAGCTCGGACACCTCCTGCCTGCTTCCTTTTATTTCAGTCCAGGTCAGTGGGACACCTCCACTCGTCTTTCATAACCGTGGGACCCCCCCACCGGGCCCTGCCTTTCCTTTTATTCACCTGTCTGGTTGTTTCTGGGCCACCAGGCAGCTAAAATGTCAGCCGGCGCCTCTGTGAGTGCGTTCAGAGACGCAGGCGTGAGGCTTGAGTCAGAAATAAAGGCTCATTGATGCCGACTCAGTGGCTTTCTGAATCATGAATATCAGTCTTATTAAGGTCGTTAGTCATCAGCGCCACAGTACTGACAGAAAGAAATGTCCCTGAGGACGGAGGAGCAGGTTCATACTGGGGGGAGGATAGTAGAGCGCTGTGAGACGGCAGGAAGTGACCTGACGGTTTGGTCCACACAGCGTCTGCAGGGTTTGAAGAGTGCACCGATCAACCGACCGGGACCAGAATTTGTCCTGATTGGTCACCACTCGGTCAGCCTCACGTACGTCTGATATTGAGCACACACACAGCAGTGCAGGTAAAAAGTCACACACTTACAACTACATGCTAACACGCTGTTAGCGTGGAAGCTCCTCGCTGTCAGTAAAGAGAACATTCGCTAAACGGGAGGAAACACCATGGAAACGTCCGTAACAACAAACCAGATGAGGCGCTTGAATCACCTTCACACAGCTGCCATGGACGTTCAAAAGAAGCTAATGCTAAAGTAGGGCTGAGAGCCACCTACAAGCTAGTAGCCTCGGTATGAGCAACGAAACAGTTGGGATGGATGTCCTGCTTTCAGCTGAAATCCTAAATGTGCCAGAAAATAATGAAAATACCTGAAATGTATTTAATACAAAGCCTGTGCAGCTTCTTTTGTCTGGTCAGATCTGTCAGTTCCTCATGATCAGCGATCTCAGGGAGAAAACAACCTGCAGCTTGTGAAGTTTAATCTTTTCTTTTACAATCAAAACTTTTTGCATTGAAGGAAAACTGAGTTTGTTTTTTTATCTGCTGTCAGTGAGTTTTCTTAGAAAATCAGAGTAAATATCAGAATAAAACCTGAAATAAGCCGGAGAAAAAGAAGAAGGTAGCAGCTGGTTTGTGTTTTAGTCTATGCTGGGACTCTGATCAGCCAATCACACAACCAATCATTTCACCCTCGACTCAACGAACCAAGTATTTGAAGCCTGAAGCAACACAGTGCTCTCAGCGAGGACGACCTGCCGAGGCTTCGTCGTTTGTTTGGGACATTCTCTGGGCTTTCTGTCCTGAGATTTTGTTATGAAAGGACCTCTGTGAGCTCCGCAGCTGCAGACGACCTCCACCAAGGTCCTCTCAGACCGAGTTAGTGATCGTTGTGTTACTTCACCTCTGACTCATCCTTGTCTCTGTTTGCAGCTCCGGAGATGTCAAAGTCGGGGCGTCGTCTCAAGGTCTCGCTGCCCGCTACAAGAAAAGCCCGTGGACGGCGGCCACACTCGCCCAGGAGGCGCAGGAGCTCACTCGGACTGTCAGAGCCATCCTGGATGTCGACTGTAAGTGATCTCAGCTCCACGCACGCCGGTCTGCATGTCCTCCTCCTCCTGCTCTTCCTGTCTGTGTGTGCCGCCCCGCATGAAGCCGAAACAAACAATCCCGCCGACCCGCCGCTGTGAGCGACTGTCCTCCGTTTCAGTGCTGAGCTTCTAGACGACCCGACTGTTGGAGAACAAAGTCGTCGAGATGTCGGCCGGACTTCAGCATCCAGCCGTGATCCCCACCGATCTCCCCAACACCTCCTCAGCTCCTGCTGAAGGACTCGCCATGTCAGAACTCTGCATGAAAGCATCTGCACACAGAACAGCAGCTTTATTCCAGCGTTTTAACCTGCGTTCGCTGCAGGACGGGTCAGGTGTTTCACCTGGAAACACGACAGGAGAGAGTTTGGTGCAGGTTAACTCACTCGATGAAGGCGTCTGTGAAGCTGAGCGCCTACCTGAATGTTTTCATGTTTGGCCATCGATGAGAGAAACGGCACCAAAACCCGCAGCTCCACATTCACAATCAATTGTTGTTAATTGCCTGAAGAGAAAGTTTTCATATTGTTCATATTCGTAATAGAACTCAGCTTTATTTAAATATCATTACTTTTCTTTGTCAAAGTGCTAATTTATGTTTGTAACCATTTCCAGCCCTCAGTGTTAGCATTATCAGCTAATTAGTGCTGAGGAACATCCGAATAAAAGCCCAGAATTTCAAAAACCAACATTTAAAGGTCGGCTCTGCGGCGCTTTTTCAGATTCTTCACAAAATTTTAACGCATAAAAGAAACGTGAACGTTAATAAACAGCCGATGCAGGTTCAACGTGACGTCACATTTTCAGGTGGACGAATACGAAAATCCACAGAATTAAAATGTATAATAAATGTTTTTTTAAACATATAGATGTTAATAATCACTGTATGATGATGATGATGCAAAGTTCATATTGGTCTATCCATTAAATACAGGCGGCATGCAGACACACAGCAGCTTTGTTATTGGTCAGTTAGACGTTATTTCTTATCTTTCCATCATTTCCTGTTATAATGGCACCAGAACTCACGATTAACCTGGTGGGTGGATAAAACATTCATGTAGTCCTTTGACTCCTGCCCTGCCTCTGTCTCAATAAATATCTTCATTTAACAAACAGTATAAACAATGTAAACTTACACATTACAGTATCATAAGGTTGCCATGTGCAGTAGCTGCCGCTCCGCCACGAGCGAGCTCACACAGCTTAGATAACTTACTGTAGTTTCTGTCTCATAGCTCAGTGTTTAGTGTCTGAGTGGCTGAACGCTCGTGTTTGTGCAGTAGATTAGCCAGCGACGCATCATCGAACAGTACAGGAGGAGAAACCTGCACGCCGCCCCGCACGCGAACGCCATGTCAGGAAGGACGATGGTCGCGTTAAAACGGGAACTCTGGGATTAAAGAGGCCTTCAGGGGCTTCGATGGCGTTTGGAGGTTTTGCTGTTTGTGTTTTCGGAACAAGCTGCAGATCCCGCGGCGTTCTCTGGGGAAAAGGATCAGCCGCTCTCAACCGTACGGTCGTGACTTTTCTCTGAACAGCTGGGCTGCGACTGAGATTTTTAAAAAGGAATAATTTTTCATGTGAAATTGTCTGAGACGTAAAGACTGACAGAAGTTTTAGATTAAGGGTAAAAGATGTTTAAAAAATCCCACATTAAAATCTCTGAAAACGACCGAACTGTTGTTGAATATTTTGTGCTTCCATTATCTCAAATATTTCCAACAACATTTGAATTCTTCTTCATCTTGGATGCATTTCAATAGCATCACATCATCTTCACTCAGGCCGGCCACCACGCTGACGCAGTAAACCACAGAGGGACAGAAAGACCAGAGGAGACTCAAAATGATTACAAATACATAAAAATCAAAGACTAAGAGACTCAAATGACACGAGGGCTTTGATTCAGTGAGTCTATTTGGAGGAAACGAACACAGAACACACTCTGTCAGGTAACTCTCCAAGCGTCCTTGAATGCACCACCAGGAAGTGTTTGTCAGGGGAACAAGGATGTAGTTCCCAAAGGTGTTTCCAGGTGATACTCGCAGAGAACTAAGGAGAAGCCTCAGGTACGCTGTGCTGCCCAGGAGAATGACAGGTATTCAGGAAATACACAGAGGTGAGAAACTGAAGTGGGTGGAGTGTGTGCGTTTTTAAAGTGTTTCCAGCAAACACACCGAGCTGGGAGATTCACACAGCTCTGTAACAAACAAACTAACAGTTCAGGAAAGCGCTGATGTATTTCCAGAAAATACACAAGCCTTTGTTTAGTTGTATAGTTCTTAACCCCAGCAAATACACAGAGCCAGGACACAGCTCAGTAGGAAGATTAAATTCTGGTAGTTCAGAGAAAAGCAAGGTGTGAATACCGTTTCCAGCAAATACACAGAGGCTGTGTCCCAATTCAGGGTCTGCACGCTTGAAGTACGCATTTTAAGTGCGGTTACGTCACCGCCACGTGACGACGGCTGTCCCAATTCGAAGTGTACTTCAAATGCATATTCCAAATGCGCCGTCGATTTCCCCAAATACCAAGCGTGGTCCGGTGCACGCTTCGTGGTCCCATATATCCCACAATTCATAGCGCGGCGGTGGGTGTGGATAATTTTGCTGCAAAATACGGCAGAAGGGAGCGGCGAAGAGGTTTTTTTTTTCCAAACTTTATTGAACTTATAAAGCGAACAGTCAGTCATTCCAGTTCAGTTTGTACAGTAGACATGCAAGGCAAATAAGAGTAACAATATACAGCACAATGAAATAAGAAGGATAAATAAATAAAGGATAAGAAAAGAAAAAAAGAAAAAAATGGGGGGGGGGCATGTGACAGACTTCATAACTTTGTACTTGAAAGTTGTGACAGCTCATTCGTTAAACATTTCTGAATGAATTTCAATCAATGATAAACCTTTTTTATTGGAAGTTAATTTAAGAGAGTTTAAGTAATAATCACTTTCAATCAAAAACACATTAAATGATGGGGTTGAGTTTTGAAATTGACATTTATGTATGTGGAAGTTCCTTAATAAGATGGAGCGGCTGAAGAGTGAACTGTCAAAAGTACTGAATATGACGTCACTTATTTATGTGCGAATGTTTAATAAGTAAAGTCAGTCATATATCCACAAACACAACAAGCTGAAAGTCAGTGATACAGTGGGGCAAAAAAGTATTTAGTCAGCCACCGATTGTGCAAGTTCCCCCACCTAAAATGATGACAGAGGTCAGTAATTTGCACCAGAGGTACACTTCAACTGTGAGAGACAGAATGTGAAAAAAAAAAATCCATGAATCCACATGGTAGGATTTGTAAAGAATTTATTCGTAAATCAGGGTGGAAAATAAGTATTTGGTCAATAACAAAAATACAACTCAATACTTTGTAACATAACCTTTGTTGGCAATAACAGAGGTCAAACGTTTACTATAGGTCTTTACCAGGTTTGCACACACAGTAGCTGGTATTTTGGCCCATTCCTCCATGCAGATCTTCTCGAGAGCAGTGATGTTTTGGGGCTGTCGCCGAGCAACACGGACTTTCAACTCCCGCCACAGATTTTCTATGGGGTTGAGGTCTGGAGACTGGCTAGGCCACTCCAGGACTTTCAAATGCTTCTTACGGAGCCACTCCTTTGTTGCCCGGGCGGTGTGTTTTGGATCATTGTCATGTTGGAAGACCCAGCCTCGTTTCATCTTCAAAGTTCTCACTGATGGAAGGAGGTTTTGGCTCAAAATCTCACGATACATGGCCCCATTCATTCTGTCCTTAACACGGATCAGTCGTCCTGTCCCCTTGGCAGAAAAACAGCCCCATAGCATGATGTTTCCACCACCATGCTTCACAGTAGGTATGGTGTTCTTGGGATGCAACTCAGTATTCTTCTTCCTCCAAACACGACGAGTTGAGTTTATACCAAAAAGTTCTACTTTGGTTTCATCTGACCACATGACATTCTCCCAATCCTCTGCTGTATCATCCATGTGCTCTGTGGCAAACTTCAGACGGGCCTGGACATGCACTGGCTTCAGCAGCGCAACACGTCTGGCACTGCGGGATTTGATTCCCTGCCGTTGTAGTGTGTTACTGATGGTGACCTTTGTTACTTTGGTCCCAGCTCTCTGCAGGTCATTCACCAGGTCCCCCCGTGTGGTTCTGGGATCTTTGCTCACCGTTCTCATGATCATTTTGACCCCACGGGATGAGATCTTGCGTGGAGCCCCAGATCGAGGGAGATTATCAGTGGTCTTGTATGTCTTCCATTTTCTGATGATTGCTCCCACAGTTGATTTTTTCACACCAAGCTGCTTGCCTATTGTAGATTCACTCTTCCCAGTCTGGTGCAGGTCTACAATACTTTTCCTGGTGTCCTTCGAAAGCTCTTTGGTCTTGGCCATGGCGGAGTTTGGAGTCTGACTGTTTGAGGCTGTGGACAGGTGTCTTTTATACAGATGATGAGTTCAAACAGGTGCCATTCATACAGGTAACGAGTGGGGGACAGAAAAGCTTCTTACAGAAGACGTTACAGGTCTGTGAGAGCCAGAGATTTTCCATGTTTGAGGTGACCAAATACTTATTTTCCACCCTGATTTACGAATAAATTCTTTACAAATCCTACCATGTGAATTCATGGATTTTTTTTTTCACATTCGGTCTCTCACAGTTGAAGTGTACCTCTGGTGCAAATTACTGACCTCTGTCATCATTTTAGGTGGGGGAACTTGCACAATCGGTGGCTGACTAAATACTTTTTTGCCCCACTGTATATGTATATGTGTGTATATATACAGTGGGTGCTGGACTTGGGGTGAAACCCTCCATGCATGGTAAGGAGCTTTCTTGTCTTTATGTCAGTGGCTTCTATCTCCTCCTTTGGCCAGCCTATTACCCCAGCAGGGTACCTGATCACAGGCACCCCCCCGACACTAACAAGCTGATCTACTATATATATATATATATATATATATATATATATATATATATATATTAGGGGTGCAACGATATTCGTATCGATATTGAACCGTTCGATACAGTGCTTTCGGTTCGGTACGCATATGTATCGAACAATACAACATTTGTCATTTATTTTATCAATTTTCCTTCTGACGATGCTGTCTGTGTTGAGCGCTCAGTGAATCTGCGTTCGACTACTCCGCCTAGGCTGCACTGTCCAGCGCAGATCCACTGAGCGCTCAACACAGACAGCATAGTCAGAAGGAAGAGCGCAGGGCAAGCTAGCGAGACAGAAGTTAAGCTCTCCTTGCAACAGGCAAATTGAACCTCATTCAGATCTGGTGTTTGGAATTATTTTGGTTTTCATGTGACGTATGACCCTGAAGGTAAGCGAGTCATGGACTAAAGTAAAACAGTATGTTGGATGTGCCATGCAATGCTCAATTACATTGGTGTGAACTAGTGTGTTAGCGCAGTTAGCTCGTTAACGTGTTGGCCGTCTAGCCCCATGCACGGAGCGATGGGCGGTAGCTCGTTAACTGAGATTTGCCGTGTTGTGGCGTTAAGGTCATTTCAACGAGATTAACCTGAAAGCACTAGTGGGAACACAACGAATATGACTGCACATTTACTCCGACATCATCCTAGTGCAAAGACAAAAACAACAAGCATGCTACTAACTTTAGCCGAGTCATTTAGACAGCTGTTAGCACATGATTCTCCTTATGCTGCTGAGAATATAGCCCAGAAGAAGCGGATAGTATAGCTTTTATTTTGGAAAGAGCCATTTCTCTGTAATAAACTCTCTTTTCCAAAGATGAGTGATTCCTCAATCAGATACAGGGCTTGCAAAATCGCTAGCCCGACGTCCTGGAGCTAGCGATTTTTTTCAGTCGGGCTACCAAAATCTTTCTCTTCCCTGCCCCTCGGGCTATTGTAGGAAAAATATATGTCAATGCTTTTGCATTCTTTCAGAAATGTAGCTGGGTAATTATGTCATTGGCATCGGTGAGCCACTGTCAATATGTGACATATTGAAGTCGCGTTTGAATTTGCGCTTGTTTTTTTGCTTTCACTTTGCAATCGTGCGAACTGTGTATAGAGAGCGACAGCACTGATCTGTGAGTGATGATAATTTGTGCACCAATTCCTCTGACATCGTCTTATTAATCGTTAGCTTACTATGCAAACATGACAAGTGAAATCTCCCGCAGCAAGCTTAAACATGTGAGAGGTTGATCGCGGGTGAAGGGTGACAGCCAAAGAAAAGCTTACCACAAAACGGAGAAGTTATGACAAATCAGACTATAAGGCAAAAAGAAAGTGCAGCTTTATGGTTTCATGGACAAAAGAATTTCTGTGGCTGCAATATGATGAGCTAAATAACCAGGGCTGCACATAAGTGGTCCGCAGGTGCGCATTCGCTGTCAAAATAAAAAACACGCACAAGGGTTAGGGTTAAATTTAAAAACTGTACTTTTGAGTTAAAATATATATTTATAATTTTAATAAATGACAACTTAAAAATGCATAAACATTTTTTGTATCGAAAAAATATCGAACCGTGACACCAAAGTATCGAACCAAACCGAACCGTGAATTTTGTGTATCGTTGCACCCCTAATATATATATATATATATATATATACATATGTATATATATATATATATATATATATATATATATATATATATATATATCATAATAATCTGACAATACTATA